TGCTGCTAAGAAGAGTGGAGGTCTCTTCTACTTCTCCTGTTCAAGAGCCACATTTGCTTGATCCAGCTCCCTTTACAGCTGAAAAAACAATGCTCCTGATGCTAAGATCCAGCTATTGAGATGTGCCTCTGCCCAAATTAAGGTTCAAACAAGATCATACACTGAAGTCAATAATGCAGATTTTATTTAACATGGGATGACAGGGAGAAAGGTAGAAAGAAATGGAAAAAAGCAGAAAGAGAGAGATCAGGTAGAAGATAGTCGCCACCTGTAGATCTAGTGGTGTCCTTTTGATCCTTCTTCACCCTGGTCTTCTCAGTAGTGGGACTCTCCAGGTCTTTTCATTATTCATACATATTAGCAAAGAAACAAATTACTGCGCATTGGCTACACACTTCTACTATTCTGTTGATTAATTTATTCTTTTGCTTCTAAAGCTAATTAGTCCTTGTACTCAGTCTTCTCCTTTGTTTGAGTTGGTGGTCGTGATCTCCCCCTGCCGGAACTACCAAATCCAAGCTGATTTCAGCACAGTTGCTGAGCTGGCTTTCCTTGTGGCCCAGAAATTATGCAGTTGCCTGCATTATCGGTGATACATTCTTCTCCCCCAGTTTTGTTAGCCTCCCCCTAGATCTGAGATAACACTCAGACAATTGCACCCCTTTTATCTCACATTGCTACTGTGGTGGCTTATCTTAAAAAGTTCCAGGTATCCAGTGAGGCATTATTCAGGCAGCTTCAGTGGTTGGTGGTGGTCACAGATTTCAGCTGTGCCAGAATTTGGGGTGATCTTTGACCAGTGATATGCATAGGAGCAGTTGCTTCTTTACACGTGTTTCCACAGGGGGAAGTTTTGTCTGGGTGCATTACCCAGAATGAGCTAACCAGGTCTCACCTTTGCCAGGCCTGGAGATAGCGCTATCCTGTCACTCCATTCTATGCTTATCTCATGCCAAAGTCCTTCTGTGGCTGTAACAATGTTTGAGACAGACAATTGTGTTTTTTTAACACCTTACACCTGGAACAGAGGAGCAGATAAAAATGTGGGATCTGCTCACTCACTATCCTCACAATTACCATGATGATGATTATGAACCTCCTCTCAATTTAAGTCATATATTTTCATCTTCCTGTGCTAGCTCCATTAAAAAGAAATAAGAATCTTATAGAATTTGACAAATATAAAACCCTGATACTTGAAATCTTTTGCTTAAATTCTTCATCCTAAGGTTGACTGATTCTGGGTTAAAACTGATTTGTGTAGCAGTTATCAATCCAGGATTATAACAAAAGCAAGTTTACTCTCACACAGTGGCAGAAGAAACCTGTGACATAAGGCTAGACAGCTTAAGAAATTCTAGAAAAGAAAATTTGTAAAGATTTTGAGAGATGTGGGCAATTTTTCCTTTTTTTTTCTTTTTCCCATCTAATACTAGAAATTCTAAGTGATTTCTTGAACAGGTAGTTGGCAATATTCTGTTGCTGAAAAGGCATATGAAACATTTGGTTTATGTTAGTATGTTTCCTAATTTCTTGCCTCCCCTTCCTTGTCTTCCGTATTTTCAACTCAAGCTGATTTACAAACCGTGGTTAATGCTGCTGATCTGGTTCAGTGGCTCCATGTTTAATCTTCAGTGGTGGTGTTACCCTCTTCCCATCCTTGTGCTGCTTTGCGTGTTGCTTCACAGTAGTCAGTAGTGCATTTGGTCAGTGAAGCAGAACAGGGGATGAAAGTGAAGTTTGGGAGAGCAGGAAAAATACATCCATGTCTGAATTGGTTTGCCAGTCTCGCTCTGTGTCTATGTCCATCTCCCAAACACGTGCAAAGACTGACTTAGACACCTGTGTTAATCTTGACAAAAGGAACATAATGATGCTTTACTTATCCAAATAAGGGAACAATGTGTTTTAAAGTAGATAAAAGAATGTGTAAGTAGACACACAGGATGCTCTATGTAGCTGGAACCAGTGGATAAATAGATAATGAAGAATACAGTGAGTTTTATGGTAGTTACATAAAAGGAGGCAACAGTTCATGCCTTAAGAGAAATTCAAGGAAAGGTCCCCTTTAACACTGGGGGCTCTCAGTGAATACAATCACCAGAGACCCCTTCAGAGGACCCTGTAGGAACATATAAGGACTCCTGCTAAGAGGTGGATGTGTGCAAGTTAGTTCTAGGAGAAGTGATGTGTATGTATCAGCCAGGAAGTACACTGTAGTCAATATTTATGATCGTGATGGAATAAATATCTTTTTTGTAAAGTTTTGCAACACATCAGATTAGAGGAGATTAGAGGAAACACCCTCTGTGTATCCAGCATGCTGCAATAAAAAATTCCTGCTTTTTAATACTTAAAATTCTATTCGAAAGTTTCCTCCCTAGCTGATTTTGGTATTGAAGCAGTAAAATCACGGTCAAAGAACTCTCTATTTAAAGTTAAAAAGTGGTATGCTTTATGGCTGTGCGGCACGTGGAGTCACATCTCAAAGACCTGTGTGCTCCAGCACTGCCCCTTATTCTCTATTTATTCCCCAAAGTATCACATATGCATAGGATTACACAATACATATACAAATACATATTCACAATTATACTATACATATACAAATACATATTCATTGTTTGACTCCGCCTGCTTCTGCCCTGTATGGTAATGAGCTCCACGCCCCTCTGGGCATGCTCAGTTCTTCTTTTGAAATGGGTGTGGGGTCCTTTTAATGAAATATTCCTCTTCCTTGGGCTTGAACTTTTCAACTGTGTCTTGTTGGCAGCTCTCCTGGTCCTCTTGGACATAGTTAATATTCCTTGCCTGCAGGTGCAGACACGGATCCTTCCTTTCCACAATAGTCCACACTTCTCCTTCTACAAACACAACTTAAGACAAGTAAATGATACATGGTCCTATTCTAACTAAGCATTAAGACAAGAAGAATGATATATTATATATATCCTTGGACTATTCATTTCACCTTGGCAGTCATTGAGTTTTTTACTTTACATTCCTTCTACAAGCAAGAGGTGTATAGACTTGCTTTTAACTTTTAACCACACCTAGTAATTGTTAATCGCCCACATTGCTCCTACCATAAATTATTTTATATTTTCTTTACCTTAAATTTTCTCATAAGATGATCCTATTCTAATTAAAATCTTAATTTCCTAATTTTCTTAATTCAGTATCAGCCCAGAGCACCATGCTTTGTCAGGGTCAAGAATGAGCAGTGAGGGAACGGGGAGAGGGTAGTTTGTAATTGGTGTTGTTGAAAAATATAAAAAATAGTCTTTTTTGGAAAGTGTGTAGGTTGAGTATTAAGAGGTGTACTCACTCTTGACTGTAGTAAATTGATTTGCTTAATTTCAGGAGAAATTCAGTGCTTGCAGTTTTGCTAGCTTCTTGCCTTACCAGAACTTAATTTCTCAATTATCCTTGCAGATGATGGTATAAAAAAAGTTACAAAAATTGCCACCAAAAAATGGAATTTGTGTATCAAAGGAAGCTGCACAAATGTGTGTTGAAATGCAGACTGGTGAAATGGCACTTAGAGTAAAATCAGGCTTAACATCATAGCTGTTCAGATGAAAGTGAAGTGCCTGGATAACAAATTAAAAACTTCTTGCTGATTTTCCAAAATGAAGAATTGCTTTAGTAAAATGGGTAGACTTTTATCAGACCACTGCGTTATCCTGAGTTGTCAGTTAAATCTTGATCATCTGTTGGAAGAATCTTAGGAAAAAGTTACCTAAATCTTGTATGAAGCACTTAGGGTAAGGAATTAAGTCTTTCTGCAGAAAGTGAAATATTTAATACTTTCTGTACTTCCACATTTTGTTGTAAAAATGAAACAGGAACAGATTTAAGCCCGCGCTGGTTTAGTTAAATATGCAAATGGTGAGTTATATACTGGTGTTGAATTCACTGGGTTAAACAGATCTTTTTTAAGGCCCTAAATCTATGTCTCATCTCAAATGGGAGCTGAAGGTCTAGAATCTGTGTCAGTGCAGACTTGCATGACTGTAGGCTTTTTGCATGTGGCTTCCATGTCCTAAATGATTATTTCAGCCTAACTTAGTTTCAATTGCTTTGTTTTTTGGTTGTAATAACTATGGTAATTTTCTTTAAGCAAGATGTCAGTGCCTAGCATTTTAGAGGTTTTTCTTGGATGTTAAAAACAAGCCTCAGTGCTAATAAGACATTCTTATTTTCTGCAGCTAGAAAAGGTGTCTGCTCAAAAATGTTTATATAGATCTTTTCCATTTCAACCTAGTCTACTCACAGCTCAACCCCAAGTTTTGAACTTTGTCCTTTCCATTTTGTTCAGAAGACTAATTGTTTATCCTTTTGTATTACTGGTTCTCAGCTTTCTTCAACCTGAAGCCAAAGTATGTTTCTGTCTTAGAATTGTGTCTTGCAGAGGAGAGGAGGGAGAGAGCCTTGCTTATTTATTCCTAAGTTTTTTTTTGCTTTCCCTTGCTTAATGTGAAGGTAGTCATGATGTTAATACAGGTCCGTTTTTCCTCTCTCCAACTCACCTCATTAGTTTTGAATGTATTACATTTGTGTTTCATATGACATGGATGAAGGTCAGTCATGTCACACTACTGTTGTCTGTGTGTATGTATATGTAATACCACTCAGTGTCACTTATTACTATTCCACACTAATAAGTGTTTACTTTAATCCAGTCTATAACAACAAATTGTCAATGGGAATTCCCATTATAGTAAAAGAATTATTTTTTTACAAGATTAAGGCAAATTCCTTATGGCATTGAAACAAGAAAGTGTTTAACCTTGGGTGATAGAATATGTCATCAGGGAAGAACAGGTAAACATTATTTCAGTGATAAATAAGAATTTGCTTTTTCTTGCTCACGCATTATTGACAGGAAGGTATTACAACATCCTTTCAAAAATATTTATCCTTGCAAGTTGTCTTTGAAGTTGTTTAATATATCTTAGTTTGTGCAAGCATAATCAGATATTTTTTTTTCCCCCCAGTCGGTGTTATCCGCTGTCCAATTTGTGGTCAGGAATGTGCAGAGAGACACATCATAGATAACTTTTTTGTGAAGGATACCACAGAGGTTCCCAGTAGCACAGTAGAGAAATCAAATCAGGTAAGTGCATTAACATATAATCAAGTTAACACCTTTTGGATGTGTGTGCATATCCTTGGCTTCTTGCTGTGTGGCCTTTTTGCTCTTCATATGCAGACAGAACTTCAAGTACTTAGACATCACATGGGGTAGCTACTCTAGAAAATCAGTTAAAATGTATTAAAATGCATGTGAAAAGGTGGTTATCTTACCCTAAACTATTTTTAATTGTTGATAGAAACTTGCATCTTAATAGCAAAAGATAAAAGTAAGGAATAGGCATTAGAATGGGAATTTTTATACTTTGGATAGGGTACTTAAAGCATTCTTGGAAGCAGAGACTTGAGTAACACTACACCAGATCTCAGTGGACTTTATCACATTACTGACAAAACATGGCATTAAATAGCTGGAGTCCCATTGCCCAGGAGGCTCAAAATGCTAATTGGGAAGGATGGTATATTGTAGGGATTTCTTGTTTGTTTTACTTATGTAGTCTGCCTCTTCTTCCTTTTGCAGTCAAGTAACAGCCATCTCATAAAAGTTGCTTATCTGGAAGAATAGTAATATTGGGGTTTTTTTTTCCTCATGATGTTTTTTTCAGGAGGCAAGTACTGGCTAGTGTGGAAGCAATACCAAATTAATAGTCACATCTGTGTAGGATCACAATTGAACAATCTCTGTTAGCAAAATATTGCATGTCTTCATTTTTAACTAGTAAGGGAGTATCTCATGCATCTTTTTACTCATGAACTTTTCATTAAAATCCACGGACATATTGTAAATAATTAATTCTCTTTGTATGTTGCTGTGTTCTTGATAAGAATAGTAGAATAGAATAGAACAGTAAGGTTGCTATATATCAATGTGGCTTGTATTCCAACTCATGCCCTAATATTTGGATTTTATTTTGAAAATTCCTCTTTTTCACTTTCCCGTTTTGGGGGGGACTGTATCATTGGCTCTCGAGCTGTTTGCTTCAGGAGCAGTGTCTTAGAGGTCCTTCATTGTGCATTCTGCTCGTTTCAAGGCTTAGCTGCAATTTGTCCTTGCATGTGTGAATGGCCACATTTCAGGAACAGATGACAGGACCCAGTCAGGTTCATGATGCCAACTTGCTGACTATTGAAGGCATAAGTAGTATCATCATCATCTCTGAGGAAGAGTACTTGTGTCTTGCAAACCATTAAACTGTTCAGATTTTAAGGAGTTTTGAAACTTGATTTCTGAGAAATGGTAGACCTTACCAGAAACTGAAATTGATTTGTGAGTTGCTGGAAGTACAAGCTGTGTTCTTGCAATTTAGGACTGTTTGAACTTGGCTTTTTTTGGATTTGGCAAGGGGAAATGTTGGTTTGTTGTTTTGTTTGTCCCCTGGGAATTGCAGGATAGTATCTGAGTTTTGCAGATGGTTGTGAGATTTACACAGTCTCTCAATACTGTATCAGTAAGACTGACAAAATGAGTAGTTCCTGTTGAAAATTGGATCATAACTTTTATAGTGACTTTAAAATTACTAAGAGAAGCAAGATAACAAATAACGTTATGCAGAAGCAGTCCGAAATATGGAGGCTTTTTTTGAGAGGGTGGGGCTGTCCCATAGCCTCTGCTTAGTTACATAACAAGTCCTTGAAGATACTCTTTGGGGAGTGGTGATAGAATGGAATTTTTTTTTTCTCTTGGGAGTAGTAACCATTTTTTTTAAAGTCTCTGATCAACCTCTCTTTCCCCTTACAATATTTTTTTTCTCTCTGTGGAAGTTAAGTGGATAATTCCATTCACTGAGTGGTGTGAGCAGGGAGGTTCTTGAAAGCATTTGTGTTTTCTTAAGATTCCTTCTAGACTTTGGTCTTACTCTTTCATTCCATATTTGTTTCTCCCTCTCCCTGACACAAGCCAGCAGGTTTGCACTTCAAAAGCAAGTCTGTTGTTCAGCTAAGGTCCTTGTATGAGCTCAGCACACTTTCTTTAGCAGTTGAAGGAAGACCAGCAGACTTTGCTGAACCAGCTGAATAGGACATTCATGTGCTTTTTTGCTGACTTTTTTCTAAGAAAACGGAGCTAGATGTTTTGTTGGGTGCCTGCTAAGTGAGTGAAGAAATTAATGATGTGCAGTTCTTGGAAATGAATGATGTGCAGTTCTCTTTGTTTGAATAGATTAATTTTTGTATAATAATGAAGCTTTTTGTACATTCCTTTGTACCTTGACATAAGAAAAAAAACTACACTGTTCCGTAAACTTCTCTGTTGTGGAACAGCAAAGTTAAATCAATAATAGTTAAACTGATTAGTGTACTGTCCAGGGGGGAATATTATGAGGTTTAAGGATGATACAGCCTTCTAATCAGGCTGTCTTGTTTTGCCTTTGAAGGAGTAAAGAGAAAGGAAAGAAAATTTGCCAATAGCATAGGCAACACATCAGAGAAATTAAAGTAGAAAAGATACTGACACTTGCAGGAAATACTGGATCAGAGATCATCCAAATTCTGTCCAAAACTGCGGCTATTTCATAGGATTTTTCTACTGAGATAGTTAATTTGTCTTCAATAGTTTTGCAGCTTTATTTCAATGACTAAGAAATTAGAATTGGAAGCAAGGCATGTTTTTTGTGCGAATATTATTGTGGCTTAGAACCACTGGTCTGTATCTATGATTAGCCTTATATGTGTGTTGTCAGGAAGGACTACTTTATTAAGGAAGGACTTATTTCAGTCCAAGAGAGACTGCAAAAGACCTCTTGCAAATGAAACGTTCCAGATTCAAAATGGCACTTAATGCTTAAGCAATTTTTAGCATACTGAATTAAAACTGCAGAAGTCAATGGCATATCATGGAGCCTGGCATTTTGGGAAAAGAAAAATAACTGGAACCCATGAAAATGCTATCCATCTATCTATAATCATGTTTATCTTATCTGAGCCTGATTTGGGCAGTTCAGTACACTGCTGGCATAGCTGTGCTTTCTAGCAATTACTATTGAAAACTTCAGGAGCACAAAAGTGAGCATGAAGAAAGTATAGAACTCCCTAGCAGATGTTCCACAAGAGCTTTCCTGGGTAACATTAAAGGTTTTGTGCTGGCTATTAGCATAGGAAACCTTGCAAAATAAAAGAAACTCACAGGAAATGCAGTTGTGAGGATTCAGGTTGTGATTCGTGTCAATCGAATAGCACCTACCTATGTATGTGTGTCTGCAGGCAGTGTGGACAGGGACCATGGCATTATTATAAAGAAATTTTAAGAATCAGCTGAAGTAAGGCATGGAAGTATATAACATGGAAGTATATAAGGTAACTATATAACAATAAGCTTTTAGCTGACAGTTGGTTTTAACAGCAAAATTGTAATTACTTGCAAGTAATTAATATAAGCTTTAAACTACATTGTAGTATAAGTTTCAAACTATCCTTTGTAGAAGCTATAAATTGTTTTTTTTGAGGATGGAAGAATTTATAATCAAAAAGGAGAAGTAGGACTAACATGAGCTGAGAGACTCTACAAAGGTATTTTGAAACATGCCGACTTGGAGTTTTGTAATAACTGAGGAAGAAGTCCTATGAAGACATTTTTTTAGACATGCTAGCTTTAGGTTGTGAAATGACTAAAAGAAGGCTTGCAAAATGTATGCTGACTAACAGAATGTATATGCTTGCATAAACAAACTGTATAACCAAAAATAATGCTAGTGGAAAAAAAAAATATTTTAAAAGAAGAATGGGAGGCTGGAGAGACATCAGAAGACCATCTCGGACCACCTCCCCAACAGATCTTCAAACACCACAACTGCTGATTATAAAGAAAAGCAAGTAGAAAATAACTGAAAATTTGAGGAAGTGAAGTGTCTGGAATGGCGTAAGAGACTACCTTTCGAGACCTGAATTTGTGTGTTGCTTGGGGCAGAGACCCCTGTGCACCCAGTGCTGTCATTGCTCACCCTTTTATCAAACAAATTAATAAACTGGATCTATTGCTTGATGCATTGGCAAGTCTAGCTTTTAATTTATAAGACAGTTGAGCTCTTCCTGAAGGTAGTTATTGTAGTTGTGGGCAGCAAGGACATAAATACTTTGAAAGAGCAGATGCTTTATAATTTTTTTTTCACATTGCGATTTATTGAAAGATTTGGCAAAATTATTGGCTTCTAAAGAGAAGTTTGAAAATAAAAATTAATTGTATTTCATTTATAAGAGTGAGCAGAAAGGGGCTTCAGACCTAAGAGATGTAGCTGAAGCAAGTGCTAGATTTGAATAAGACTAAAGGGTAGATAAGTGAGGGAAATTTAGGGACTTTAACAGAAGAAAATGGCATATGCAAAGCCATGAAAATAAAAATGAGGAATGTGAGATTGATGCAAGAGAGAAGACCTTGGTGATAACATGGGTATTGGTGCAGCATACTGAGCCTCTAGTGCATTTTAGTCTAGGTTCTAATTCTCATAGCTTCTGTGTCCAAAACAGAATGTGTGTAAAAATATTTTTGATGATAAGAATAATTTTATGTATCTTTACCAGTTACTGACCTGAGAGTTTAAAATACTGTATTAGGAATGAAGAACATCTGGGTTTTATGTGAGATGTTGGGAATGTAGTGATGTAGGGGGGAAATGATGCCTTGAGTTTTAGCTTTCATATTTTTCAGATTCTGTGCTGCCTAGGTGTGTAGTTTTGAGCTTCATATTAAGAGTCAGTAAGTTCTCTTCACAGGGTAGGTAGACAAAACAATCCTTTTCCAGCTTGGTACCAAGGACAATCATTACAAGTTTCAGGCTCAAAAGCATAAACAACAGTTGGACTGAAGAGAGCAAACAAGGAGGATGGGACTTCATAACCTGGAGCTGTAATTGGACAACTAACCCCAATGTGTAAATGGACCAAAATGTGTAAAAGTGTGAGACCTCATGACCAGTTGTCCATTTTGTGATCAATTTGGGTTCATCTTGGGTGTGGCCATGTCCAGGCTCTTGTACTGCCCAAGGTGTATCCTTTAATGCCTTTTAATAAATACCCACTTAATTCTTAACCCTGTCTAGCCTCTGTTCTGAAGGCATCGCAGTCACAAAACAAGGTATCAGCTTAGATATGATACTAGATCCAGATATTAGGAAAGCAGCTCTGACTGCCATAATGAGGTGATTAATGAGGAAAATTGAGAACAATAAGTTTCTTTAAATTTTTATGGTGCCAGAGGAACCACTGTGTGTTTTTCCAAAGAAGAACTTTGATGCTTAAACAGCTTATAAAAGCTGTACCTGTGACCCAAACATCTTTGAAAGCCAGTGGTAATGGACTCGGGAAGAGTCACAATGTGCTCTGGTGTGCTTTGAAGAGATGTGGATATTGATGGGATGGTGGAGTAGGAAGGATATGTTGATCAGATTTCCTGCATTTTGAGCTGTCAGTACATGGTTCATATTTAGAATTACATATAGTGAGAGATCATTACATAATGATTAGCATCAGTGAGGTTTGGATCCAGTGGGGGATGTTGCATCTCATCCATTGCATCTAATTTGCATTGGTGAAGTTTGGAGCTCACTGAATATTCATCTGGACTGCTTTGCTCTCTTCCTTTGAAACCTTTGCTTGATTATTTAATCTCTTTAATACTCAAAGTGTATTTAATTGGAAGAGTGGTTACTTACTACAGTAGCTGAGATGACAGGTCTATTACCTCAACTCTTGCAAGTAAATGTGTTTTTTCTGCCATAAAAGCTTGTGTATTTACTTAAAATAGTACTTACCTGCAACATGCTGAGTAATTTCTGTTTTCATTAAATTTGACTGAAGGCTGAATGAACACATCCCAGGGTTATAAATACTAGAACTTGTAACTGAATTAAATGTAATTACAAGGAAAACTCAATTAAAAAGAAATGTCTGTCTGACCATAATAAAGGCTTGCAGGTTAACTAGGGAGAGTTTTCTTTGAAATCATTGAAACACTGCTTGTGTGAGTCACAAAAATCAGAACGAAATGAGTTTTAGGTTTTGTAAGTGCATAACAAATATTTGCAGTAATTATGCTTCCATGTACTTTAGCTGTATGGCTTACTCTGATAACTAGGAATTATAGTAAAATCCAGCCTATATCTGAAAATGCTTATTTCAAATCAGAAGTGGATAGGAGCAAATCTGATGCTACCTAGAAGGCATTGCTGTTTTGACAGCTTGAGTTACGATGTCTATGAAAAGCTTTAGAAATCTATCTCATGTCCACTTGGTGGATTTGAAGAGTGTAAATATGGGATATAAATTTTTGAAACTACAAAGGAGGAGTTTTGATTCATTTGGCAGCACCTGATTATTGGTTCTTGAATCACAATTTTCATCTCATTCCGTGTACAGGTCAAAGCAGTTAAAAAAAAACCCAACTAAAGCATATTGAAAAAAGAAAATAGATTAAGGTCTTGGAATCTAGGAAGAATTAATAATTCAAAAATTCTTTGATTTTACCTAAGTGCCCTGGCATGTTCATCTGCCGGATTTTGCTAAAGATAATCTGGAAAGGCTGTTGTGGGGAGTTTGGTTGGTTGGTTTTGATTATAATTTGGTTCCTGCCCCTTTATTTTTTTTTTTTTTTTTAACTTTTTGGGGTCTTTGTTTTGCTTCTTTGACTTAGAGAATGCCTGAAAGACTCTTTTGTTCTTGTTCTCTGCTTATTTTGTTTTTACTGCTGTTTTTTTTTTTACACTAGAAAACCAAACATCCAGTATGTTACTCTCCACTCTGACTTTTAAAAACATGTTCTGGGAATTTGAGGGCACAGCACAATCACACCTGTCTGGCAACAAGACTGAGGTGCAAACTTTCTTGTCCTGGCCTGGCTATTCAATTCACTGTCTAGTCAGCATTGCTGATGTAACTGAGCCTTGGGCTATGGTGCTGAAATCAGTCCTGGTTTGCATCGCAGTCTTACAGAGGGTTGCACTGGCACAAAAAGGAGACAACTGGCTAAAGAGAAAGGAGAGGCTGGTTCTTGGGATTTTGGTTCTTGGGTTTTCCCCAAGAATTAAGAATACTTTTAAAATTTTTTTGGTTTGTTTTTCAAAATGTAATTGAATTTATGCGTTAATAACAAGTGTTAGCTTTAACCCCAGCTGGTAACCAAGCACCATGCAGCTTTTTTTACTTCCCCCTTTCAGTTCACTTCCTCTCTCCCTTCCCATCCCACCTCCAGTGGGATGGGTAGGAGAATCGGGGGGAAAAAAAGGTAAAACTGTGGGTTGAGCTAAGAACAGTTTAATAAATGAAATAAAGTCATATTAAATAATTCTAATAATAGTAGTAATGAGAGTGAGAGAGGGAGGGAGGAATAAAGCCCAAGAAATGCCAAATGCCAAATAAATTTGCGCACCACCCACTGACCGATGCCCAGCCTGTCCCTGAACAGAGATTGGTGCCTTCCACCCAACTCCCTATGGTTTATATGCTGAACATGATATCCTGTGGTATGGAATATCCCTGTGGGAAGTTCAGCTCAGCTGGCCACACTCCCTCCTTGTGCATGTGTGAACTGGCAGAGAGCATGGGAAGCTGAAAAGTCCTTGAGTTTGTATAAGCACTGCTTAACACACTGATGTTCTGGTTGTTGCTATCATTATTTTCATACTAAATCCAAAACCACAGCACTGTGCCAGCTACTAAGGAAAACCCCCCACTCTATCCCAGCTGAAATCAGGACAGAAAGGAAGAAAAGTCAGTTTCCTGATTACAGTTTACTTCCTTTAATTGCTTTATTTCCATTTTCTAGACTTTTTTATGATGTTCTGGTATTTCTCCCCTAGTCTACTGGTCTGGATAGGAATAAAAATTTTTATTGTTAAGAGAAGGAGGGGAAGAAAAAGAAAATCCAGGCCTCATTTTTGTAAAGAAACAGAAAAAGGGGCACAAGCCCAATTTTTTCTCCTTTGCAGGTCATCTTTAATGAAAAGAAACTGCTTCAAACTTCCAAGTGACAACAAGAGGGGTCAACAGCCCTTGTGTTGTAACTTCATTTCTCAGAAGATACTTACTTTGAGAGATAACATGATCCAGAAGAATAAGACTGGAACTCCAGTTCCAGTTCTGTCAGTAACTTGCTGTCTGGCCTAAGGCAAGTTTTGTGCTAATTTTCCTCTCTTTCCTGAAGGGGAAACTGGAACATAGTTCTGTGTATATATATTTTTATCTGCATGAGATAGAAATATTTCCTTCCTCTTTAACTTTATCTATATTTACCTTGTGTGGGTGCAGAAGTCATTTGGTTGGGTTTCTTTAATCAAACTGAAAACAAAACTAAAACCTAACATTTCCTCCTTGTTGCTCCTGCAAACAGAAATCTGTCACTGTTGTCTGTAGGATGTAGCAATCTTCAGACACCTTGAGGCTTTGGTTTGCAGCAGTGCTAAACATTGCCAGCAAAGAGTGGTAGTTAACTAAACAAGGATCTGCATAAGAAAGTTCACTATTTTTTACTACCAAAACCCTATTGAAGGCAGGACATTGAAGGCATTGTAAAGATGTAAGGGAGTAAAAATGAAATGACAATATGAACGTGTGAAATGGTGTTGTCCATCATTCAGAGTTTTCAGCCTGTTGTTCAGATTGTGGTACTGTAGCAATTTTTTCTTGTATATGTGTTTAGTCAGTGCAGAGAGGTTTTGGTCAGCTGACATGTTTGTTTTCCTTACTTTTTTTTTTCCCCCTAGGTCTTTTTGGTATAGCCCAAAGAGCCCCAGGGATTACCTGGCCACAGTTGGAAAATTCTTATGCATTGGTTGCAAATCTGTTCTGGGGTATCTTTTTTGACAAACATAACTGGCTTACTGTCTTTAAGAGATGATGCTAAGATTCTTGAGAGCAACTTTGCTGCTCAGTACGGTGTGTGCTTCCTGAAACCAAGCAGGTGACTGGAAGTTAAAATTAAAGCTGCTGTGTGAACTGAGGGAGGCTTCTAAAATCAGAGTAGTGCTGTTTGTGTTCTGTCATTAGTTAATATTTCACAACAGCATCTTGTATATAGTAAACACTGTATTGCTTCTAAGTGTGCAGAGAATGGCAGAAAGTAGTGGTCTGTCTTCCATCATGTCAGGCAGAGATTTTAGGGTAACACTGACAAAATGACCTGTTTCTTTGAAAAGTCACATTCAATTACTTCTGTGCTGTTATTTATAATGTTCCTGTACCTCAGGCAGTTTTCCGTTCTGATTTCACGGTTTTCAGAAAACTATGAAAGTGCACTGATGATGTATGAAAAATAACCTGTGTGTATATTCCAAACTTATTTTAACAGCTACCTTTTCTTCCTCTTGCCAGGTCTGCACAAGCTGTGAAGACAATGCAGAAGCCCATGGGTTTTGTGTGGAATGTGTAGAGTGGTTGTGCAAGACCTGTATCAGAGCTCACCAGAGGGTTAAATTCACAAAGGATCATACTGTGAGGCAGAAAGAGGAAGTATCTCCAGGTGACGTATTTATAATTTCACAAAGAATTTGTGTCTGCAATGGAAAATTATATTGTACCAACACACATTTTTTAAAAAAAAGTGATAAATTGAAAGCTGGTTTCTGTCAGTTTTTTGTCTCAGATAAGCTGAATAGTGGTACAGATTGCTTTTCTTGTTGTGTTTTTTTTTTATGTAACATGTTTTACCAATAAATACACATAGATTTTATCTTTTATATGGATTGATGGCTAACTATTGTCTAGACTTTAGAGATCAGCTGCAGAAAATACTTCTTCAGGCATTTGGCTTCTCTAGTTTTACTAGAGGTCTAACAAATTGTTAATATGAGCTTTATTGTTGTATACAGCAGGAAAAGGGGCACTAATGGGTTATATTTTTTCAGCATTCTGATAAAAAGACAGCCAAAATTCATGTTTTAGCTAAGTATCTTTTGAGCTTGAAATGTTTTGCCTCAGAAATGTAGGGGAAGTATATTATGAATTGGGGCATTTTTCCTCAGGAGGATCTAGGATAATTCAGGCTAGAAGGGACTTCATCTAGTCCAGTCTCCTGCTTCAGGCATTCAGTTCTGAGTTATAATTGCTCAGGCTTTATCTGTTTGGGCATTGGGAACCAGCAGTGGTGAATGTGGTGTACAGTACTCTGAGAAATCTTGGCTACTCTGTGATAGAAAAGGTTGTATTTCTATTCATTTAGAACTTCTTTTGTTTCAGGTTTTTTTCCCACTGTGTCTTGTCTTTTAGTGTCATTATAGGAGAATAATAAACATTATAGGATGCTGACATTCTACTGGTTCTAATACATCTATTGGACTTGCATGATTTTTCTTGTAAATACATAATTTTTATTTGGTTTTTAGCAATTGTTACATGTTACTTTAAATATATGTATAAGAATAGATATTTATTTTCATTCCACCCTATCTAGTATGATGAGGTAATCTGGTGCTCAAAGTGCATCTTCCACCATGATACTTTTTGAGGATATGCACTGTATGCTGTTATCCCACTTTAACATATGGTTAATCAAAAGTGAGTCCTGAGTGTACTTCCAAGAGAGGACAAAAGTGGGTAGAAGTGGCTGGTGGACTGTTAGGCAGAACATGACTTGGTGGGAGGAGTGATCTCGGTGCACTCAGGCGTCTTTGGGAGGCAGTTTGTCGGTGAGTTGGAAAGAATTTTGACTGAAGTATACAGATCTGAAAATAGCTTCTTCCAGATTTCTTGAAAACAGTAAATGAATGGGTATGAAAAAGAGACCTTATTGATCTGCAGTGAAGGATGGGCTGCAGTGTGAAGCCAGTTTTCATTGCAGGCTGTATAATCCTTATGAACTCAGTGTCCAACCTAACCCCTTGGAAATCAGGCTTTGTCAGTTAAATTGTTTAAAGAAACAGATTTAATTTCTATGATCTGGTGGTGTTTCCTTTACCCTTTGATATTTGCCCGCTAGAAACTGAAGTGAGACCTCTCACCCATTAAGAATGGGGTCCTGAAATGAAGTTCATATCTCGTTATTTACATTATTACATTCTGTATGTTCTACACTTGGAATGTCCATGTCTTGATATCCTCAAACCCCTTTCCACCAGGTCAGCTGAGAAAGAGGACAGAGCACGAATTAAGTCAATCACCTCCTCATCTCAATTTAAGAAAGGAGCTTGCTGATTATGAAATGTCTTTTGCAGCCTCCACAGTACTGGCTACTCCTTTTGTAAATAGTTTTGTGATGCCATAAGAGATTATGTTAAAATAGGTTCTAGACATTTTCCATTAAGACAAGGTGCTAGCTCCATGCTTGAGCAACAACAGTGAGACATTGCAGTTTGAGCTTATGGCTGTTACAGTCTCAGTGGGTGACCCGATACACACTTGGACGTTGAAGGAAAAACAGGAGAATGAAAACTTGAACAAGTTCAATAGACTGTACTAACATCTTCCTTTATTCAACAGAGGCAGTTGGTGTGACCAATCAGCGACCAGTGTTCTGCCCTTACCACAAAAAGGAGCAGCTGAAGTTATATTGTGAAACCTGTGACAAGTTGACCTGCCGAGACTGTCAGTTGCTAGAGCACAAAGAGCACAGGTATCAAAGCAAAGTGTGTGTTTTATCCATCTCACAGGAAGGTAGCCTGAAGGTGATTGTAGTTCTAGCTGTATGGAACACAGGTCAGGTGGAAAAAGTGCAAACTAAAATTTTCTTCCCAGACATAAAACTCACAAAAAAAACACAGTTTGTATCCCAAAGAATGTGACTGATGAGTGTGTGTTACATATAGAATAAAGCCTACTTCTTCCAGTTGTTAATCTGGTGACTTAGGCACAAGACCTTTTTTGCAGTCAAGTTATTTGGTTAGCATTTGTTGCTATGCAGCTCTTCAGAGAGTCCTTAAAAAACACAGGGGCTGTGTTATGCAACTGTACACTTATGTGTAATTTCTCTGTTTGTCCTTCAACAAGATTATATAACAGCATTACCAAACAGCTTCAGAATGGAACAAATGGGGATTTTTTTTCTGTGAAGAGGCCTTTCAAAGGAAGAGTTAACCTACAGTTTGGCTATTACTGTATTTAGACAACACTATAATATTTAAATCTTTGTGTTGCTGTTCTTTTGGTCATCTCTTACTGGTCACTGAAGCTGAAAAGCAGAAATATATACAACTTCTAAGTACAAGGCAAAAATCTTGCTGGTTAACACATATAGTAGTGTTTTGGGACAGATGCACTCTGGTTAAATATTAATATGCTTGCTATACCTGGTACAACCACCCAGAGAGCTTACTTGCCTGACCAGGTGAATGTCAGTAGGTGGAGAAGTGTTGGCTGCTGTTGCTCCTTGGAACAGGCTAAACATTGCTCTTGCAGAGTTGCAGTCTTTCTCTTTTATTCTCCTTTTCTTGGGATTTATATCCCTTTTATAATGTGCCACCTCTTTTTCTTCAGATTGTTAAAGGTTTCGGTTCCATGATTTAAAATGTTGCCAACTTCTACCAACTCAGCAGTCGTCTCTTCTATTTCTGCATCGTTGTCTTGCATGAAGTAATATTGTACCTGCATTTCCACATTCAAAGTGATGACTACCTCAAAGCATTAACTTTTCTTTTGCTAAAATTAGGCTATGGTCACACAATGTCCTTTTGTATTTGTGAAAATCATAATTTTTTCCTCCAATATGACAAGAAATGTACTATAAAATTAAATATACTATAAATTAAACATATAAGCATTTGCTGACATATTCTTCCACGATGACAGTTACATTTTGGATTTGAGCAGCCTCTTTCTTCAACTAAAGAAGTATTATTTTGTAAGTCCCCCTGCTTTTTAGCAAGTTTATCACACCTTTTACATGTGTAAATCCTCACTGCTTTTTACTACAGGTACCAGTTTATAGAAGAAGCTTTTCAGAACCAGAAAGTTATCATTGAGACACTGATCACCAAATTGATGGAGAAGACTAAGTACATAAAATATACAGGGAAACAGATCCAAAACAGGTTTGTATCAGATTATGAGGTTAAAACTGACAGAAGGCAACTTAACATATACTATAGTTTCTTGAAATGTTTAAATTAGTATATTTTGTACCTCTCTCCTTTTAAACTTCCAGAAAGAAGAATCCTGAAGTTCATTGTAGGGACTGTTGCCTGTTCAGTATTCTTGGTTGTGTTAGGTAATAATTCTGCTCAGGTTGTGGACTTAATGGGCAGCAGTTGCTTGGGTGCAGCAAAACAACTTACGAAATAAAGACTGTAGAAGACAGTCTTAAATGCCTCCCCACCATCAGCAGATTAATTTTCTTACTGTAGATCCCTCTTTGAAAGTGAAAGGTTATGACTCATGTTTTCAGAATGTTTGTGACATGTATTTGAAGATTTATGTAGTACTTTTATGCTTGGGGCTGTATTCACTGGGTACCACAAACCTAGGAGAAAAATAAATCTGTAAAACACAATCTGCAGTGAGCCTTTGTGGCTGCTCCTTCAGCAGAGTTCAGGGGCAGCAGTACCCAGGGAGATTCAGCACAGTCAGGGAAGCCAAGTGGGACTTGAACTCTTCCTTCATCTTTGCAGTAGAGGTTTCCCAAATATAACATTTAGCTCTGCTGTTACGAGTTTGAGCACTGTTGTTGAAATGGCTCAGTTAGTGCCATTCTACCCTAGATGGAAATTAGACTTAAGCAGTTTTGATTGGCATGAACCATTCCAGAAAAGTGACGGAGCTCTAAAAATGGACAATTTCAATTACAAAGAGCATTTAATTTTTATCAGTGACAGAAGTCAGCGTTACAGCATAGAATTTGCCACCAGTTAATTAATTTAATCATAGGTCACTCTTACCTGCTCTTTTTTCCCAGTAATTTTCCTGATTATAAGTGTCTGATGATACATGTATTAATTGGTGGATATGACCAAGAAGTATTGTACTCTAAGCAAGAGATTTTTTTTTTTTAGTACTGTTTAGAGGATGGATTTATGAGCTAAAGAACATTATTTTCTATACTGTCTACTTACAGAATTCTTGAAGTGAATCAGAATCAAAAGCAGGTGGAACAGGATATTAAAGTTGCCATATTTACACTGATGGTAGAAATAAATAAAAAAGGAAAAGCTCTGCTGCATCAGTTGGAGGTAATTTCATTTCTGTCATAAGAAAGTAAATTTCAGTCTTCATATTTTTTCTATGTATTCGCATTAAAGTAAATTTCTAGCATTAGTCCCCTGTGCATGTCCTATCATGATTCCAAAGTGGAGAGATGTCCTATACAAGCTACTTGAGCAAGTAGGGTTTTTGATGGAGGAAAGTTTGTTTTTTGAGGGGTGGCCAGTTTCTTTCTCCATGCTTTTGTAATTCATTCTATGCATCATGCATGAAAAGTGTTCCATTAGAATTTTTCATAAATTCAGTAATCCAGTAGCAAATCACAGGAGAGAATTGTCTAGAATGGGCACCTGGAAAAATATTATCTCCAGTTGTGTTTGGAAAAGTGTGTGTGTATGTAGAGAGGCACACACATACATATATATAAATATATGTAAAAATTTGTCATTAGCACAGAAAGTCCTGATATCTTGAGTAAATGTGTACTGACTTGTTTGATAGCTGCATCAGGGGGCAGGGATCCTTTTTAGAGGAGCTAAGTGAAACCACTTGATCACTGTGAATTACAAATGTGAAAGCTAAAGCCTTTTTTCTTTAAATTAAACCTTTAAATTGAACCTTTTGACTGGAACTGCTTTTCTACTTGCAGACTCTGGCCAAAGAGCATAGGATGAAACTTCTGCAGCAACAACAGGAAGTGGCAGGTCTCTCTAAACAGCTGGAACACGTCATGAATTTTTCCAAATGGGCAGTTTCCAGTGGGAGCAGCACAGCACTGTTGTACAGTAAACGCTTGGTAAGGTTAGGAAGACAGCTCTCTCTGTTCATCTAGAGACTACAGTTTACATGTGCAGATACGCATGCACATGCTTGTCAGGAGTACTATGGTATTAGAATTTGTAATGATTTTCTACTAATTGGAGTATTTATATATAGTTTTTGTGGTTTTTTCTTAAACATAAATTCAGAATGTTTCTATTAATTTAGCTCTTTGGCCGTGGTACTCTCCTGTTACAATACCACAGAACTATTGTAGATCTGCAGAAGTAAGAACCTTTTCTCTGGGTTATATACCATGAAGCCATGAAACATGGAAAAAAAATGTTGTGTGTCCTACATCATCATTGTGCTTCTTTACAATACTTACTACAGCATCTGAGTTCATGGAGAACAGTGTTTTTATATCACAGTGTCTGGTATCTAGCATTTTAATGTAAATATTATTGTATGTCTTTGTCAGGTTCATCTCCCACTGAAAGTGTTTCAAAATCGATAAAAATTAAACTAAGGCTTTTGTTTATCCTTACAAATGATTACAAAGCTAAATATTTCATTGCTATAATGACCCTGAAGATCTGAGTGTATGCTGTCACACTAAGCTGACTGTTCATGATGGACAGAAATCCTAGAAAATTTTAAAGGAAAAAAACAAACCAAAAGCTCACCTTTATTTTTCCAAAGGTTACTAGACTGTACTTGCCTGACAACAGCAATCTGGGGCAATGTTGAGAAAAGATGCTAGATACTTTTTTTTTTCCAGTTTCTAGGAACTGGTTCATAAAGCTTTTTCTTTATTTTCTCATTGGTTAGTTGAGAACCTAGCAGGGTATTCAGTGGTGTTTGTTGGTTTGGGTTTGCTCTTGGTTTTTGGTGGTGGCTTTTTCTTTTTTATTTTTTTTAATAGCCATTGTTGATACTGCAAGCTATAGCAGAATATTACTTGTTTTTATCAACTTCAAGTAGTTAAGTTAATTTGGTCTGCCTTATAGTGCCTCAGCCAGTCATATTTTTTTAATTGAATAGAGAAAAAGGACATCAGACTGAGTCATGTTGTTTATAATTGCTTAGTGTTGCCACCAAGGCTCTGCTACATGAGTAAGAAAACAAGTTGAGTTTCAGGCATCTTAATCATATAAACATTAGGCAGCTGAAGGAAAGGGCCATCTAGCCCAAAAAGCCTCAGCAAATGAAAAGAAGTTTTCAAAAGAACAGATTGAGCTTTAGAAAGTTGGTGCTCCTTGGGAGCTGAGTAGATAACTTATCTGTGGGCATTTGGACAAACTTATTTCCAAGCAGTTTTGCTTAGAGGAGCATGTGAAACTTCTGCTCCAGCAAATCCAGGAAGGAATGCCCATCAGACTTAAAGGCAGCATTAGAGCTTGGGAGTTGTATTCTCAGGCTGTACTTTTCATTACTACTAACAGGAGGTAACCAGTCAGGAGTTTATCTAGAATACATGTATGTGCACAAAAGCAGGAAAATAATGGAGCAAACTGGCAGGAACTGTGTGTGACCAGTACTAGGAACAGGACAAAAGTCTAGGATTTCTGTAGTGTCATCTATTTGATTCTGATAATGTGGATGAAAATCCTAAGGAGATCTCTATCCAAAATAGTAATAATGCATTTAAAAATTTTCCATGGTCATTTGAAAATCTTGAGTCACGCAGAATGTTTTTTGGGTATGGTCTTAAACTGACATGCCTAAAATTGAAAGAAAAAACTTGTACACTGGATGTCCTTATAAAATTTCTCTGTAAAAGGAAAAAAAAACCAAACAAAAAAACCCTCAAACTTGTATAATTTTAAACAGTTAAGATGATTTCACCAAGTATCTCTCTTTTCCAGGAAATAATCTATCACTCAAGAAAAACAAGAACTGAACTCCTTAAGTTCTTTTTTTCAGCATCTCTGCTGTGTGTGATTCTAAAATTAGTGCCTGTTATATTTTGGTATATCAGTTCCTGACATTTCTAGTGAAACAACTGCAAGACAACATTTTCTTTCTAGGAAGCAGATAAATTGTGAGCATTTGGTAGAATATTCTCTTGTGTAATCACAATCCAGTTCTTTGGAACCAAGTCATTGGAAAAATTTGAAAATATCTCTGAATCTGAGTTTTCAAAGACAGTTTATAAAAATCTGTTCTTTGGCTGTCTGAAGAAAACTTAAATTTAGTACAAAAGAAAATTCCCTGTGATCATACTTGTTGCCAAACGAATGGCATACTTTGGAAGAAAAATGAATGGGCTAAAATAGATTCGTGGGGGGGAAAAAACATCAATGGTTATGTAAATCGGAGCTTCACTTGCAAGTAGTTAAAGTCATTGAATATAACAGCCACGTTATTAGAAGGATGTGTATTTCTACAGGGAAGAATTGTTATTTTTGTTTAGGCTGTAGTTAACTTCTTATTAAAACTACTTTAGGAATAAGGGAAAGATGTTAAAAATACCTCTTTATTTGTAGCTTGGACAAGTTTCTCTATCTTTAACCTCAATTCTCTAGGGGGGGGTTTGTTGGTGGGATATTTTGATTGGTTGCTTTTTTTGGTGTGTGGTTTTGGTTTTTTTGTGCTGTTCAGATACATGGCTCTGGCCCCAGAGGAAAAAACCCCCTTATTTTTGTTCTTATTCTAGATTACATATCGACTACGGTATCTCCTCCGAGCAAGGTGTGATCCTTCCCCAGTGACTAACAATACCATCCAGTTCCACTGTGATCCTAGCTTCTGGGCTCAGAATATTTTCAATCTAGGTATGATAAATTTTTATTAGCCCTTTGGTGTCTTGATCCTATTTTGAAAGCAGCTTTCTTTTTGTGATGATAGCCCCTGTGGTATCAATTTCTTCATTTACTCTGTTAATGCATTTCCCTAGCTGTGAAAAACAAAGTGCATTGCATGGGGAAAAGTATTATTTATGAATATTATGATAAAGTATTAACAGACTTATCTTGTTTGAATGGTATATGTGATGGTGAAAATAGCACTTTCAGTTTTCTGGTCAATACTTCTAACTTCTGGCTTCTGAAACAAGGAACAGTTTTTAACCCTATTTCACATCAAAAGAAAGGGTTCCTGCTGTCAACCAGCACTCCCAGGTCCTTTCCCATGGGACAGCTTTCAGCCACGATGATAAGCACCCTAAGAAGTCAACAGCTTGGCAGGAGGACTTAAAGGTTTTAGAGGTCTTTCAGGATTTTGACTGTTACTGTGCTTCCTTTCTCTCTCCACTGTTACCAATGTTGGTGGGCATTTTTGTTTTTCTGTCATGTGCAGAAGGCTTGGTGAGATATCTGTGGGGCATTTTCTGCCTTTCATCAGAAAGTGCTCTCTCAGTGTAGAGAGGTGGAAATGTATGATTCTCTACAATGTCAGTGGAAGAAAGTGCTATGGCAGCTCCTTTTTCATGACGACATTGGATGGTAGCAAGGAAATTTTCCAAGTTCCTTCTTTATAAATAATTTTCTTAGAGACAAGAATTTAAATATGTTTCCAGAAACCAGCTGTCAGGTTATGTGGTGATAACTCTGAACTGCTGTTCAGATAAGATGTTTGTAATGAGCTTTTTCCTGTGTTTGCTGGGCTCTTTTTCTTGTGTATGTTTATTTAGCGAACTTCTGAAATATGGTCCCTTACATTCTGAAAAGTGCTGCAATACAAATGGCACCTGTATAGACCAGCACTGGGGTTCTTGTAGGAGTCTAAGTGACAGATAAAACCAAATAATATTTATCAATCTAGTTTCAGAAATCACAGCCTTTAGGCTATTTTGTTTATGATCAGACATGTTCAATTTCTGTAGATAAGCTAGATATAAGAACCAGTGAAGAAAAAGTAAAATAAAGTCTGAGTAAAGAAACAAGTTACTTCAGAAAGGGTTTGAGTTCTAGTCAGACTGCAAGTCTCTGGCAGTGTGATGGTGTTTCTGCTAACTGCCATACTCCCGTACTGGTTTTATTTATTTTGGTTAAAATAGGTTCTTTGGTAATTGAAGATAAGGAAACTCCACCACATATGCCCAAGAGCCCTGTGATGGAACCAAACTTACAGCCACCAGGCAGCTTACCTCCCAACCAGCTCTCCAAGTTCCCAACACAGATCAGCCTAGCTCAGCTCCGCCTCCAGCACATGCAGCAGCAGGTCATGGCTCAGAGACAGCAAGCTCAACGCAGGGCAGGACCAGTAGTTCTACCAAACCCAAGAATGCCAGGAGCCATGCAACAGCCTCCTGCTTCTCATCAGGTAAGTTAGGACTGTTTTCAGAGTCTCTTTTTCCTGTGGCACTGAAGGAGAAAGTAAAGACAAGAAAAAAAGGAAAGAACTTAAATCTAGGTACATAACTTTGGAGATCTTCATCTTCAGCATGTAGTTATGTAGATGGTTTAAAGGACATTTTCTTTACTGTGAAATGAATGGGAATTTTAAACTTGCCTTGCACAATGCGTGATAGCACCCAGCCTATATTTATTCTTTAAAAAAATAAAATCTTGCTATATCCAGCCATATAACAGTGCTTAGCAACATTTTTGTGTTTTTGTCAAGTGATCAAAAAGTTAGTGTAATTTTTTTTTGCTACATCTATTTTGCCTAATACCCAATGATCCTCTCACATATCTTTCAAAGCTGGAAACACTCTCACTGGCTCTTGTTCTATCTCTTCATATATTAAAATAATTCAAAACTGTCAGCTAGTCTACTACTGTCTACTACTACTTTTAACATTGGAATTCAATGCTTTTCATTCAGATCAATGAGATAAATTCGGATGTTTCAGATAAATGGTGTGGTACTATTTATTTGCATATAATTTATGAGGAGTTTCGGAAGCTTAAAAGGACTGTTTAGTACAAAATGTGTGGAATATGGAAAAGATCTCAGCTAACTTGCAGAACTATTTTTATTGTTTTTATGTAGGCACCTCCACGCTTGATTCATTTTCAGAATCATGGTCCCAAGCCCAATGGTTCAGCTCTTCCTGCACAACAGATGAGATTTCCCCAAAATCAGACCCTACCAAGGCCAGCAGTAAAGCCCAACCCACTGCAAATGGCATTCTTGGCACAGCAAGCTATAAAACAGGTAGAATATCTTTACCTTTTCACTCTCCATTTAGAAATTAAGCATCAAATGTGTCATATTTTATACTACTAGAGTGCTTTTCAGTTAAAACAGACTGCATTATTTTTCTGTGACAAGATACCCATAGTTTTCTTAATGAGGTAACTGTCAAGCTGCTTTCATTTTGACAGTTCTAAGCAGCTGAAGCATTAGGGAGGTGAGCCACTGTGTGTGCTGTGTTGGTGTTCCATTCTCTTGCTGTGGTTTCTGACCACTTACACAAAACTTAGCGTGGCCATTGTCTGCACACTGCAGTCAGTGAGTAGACAAATCAGAAAATCCCATTTTAGCTTGATGATAGTGACTTCAGCAGGAACCAGGTAAAACCTTGACTAAAAATCTAGAGCTGCTAGGTTCCTCAGAGTATGGCAGATCTGAACTCTTACAGGTGAGGGGAGAAAAGAGAGTCCACAATTGTGGGACCTCTGCTGAAACTGATCAGTGCCCAACTGATCAGCAGCTGAACTGGGGCAGAAGCAAACACATCATGTGTGTTCTGGATGTTTAGGAAGGCTCATCTTTATTAAAAAGCATATTATTACACATGAGTCGCTGGGTGCAGGTAAGTAGAAAAGAATCAAACAAATCTGTGACCTGAAAAGTGATGTAATACCAGTTATGTTTCCAGTGCTTATGATATCAGAGAACTAATTTCAACTAAATGGAAGAAAGCTGTACAATATCTAAGAGAATTTGTGCAAATAAAAAGTAAGTCACTTCTATTCTGTGCCTGTGAGAAGAAGACTGGCCTATCTTACAAGCCTTTCTTTCAAGATACCTCATTATTCAGTAATGTCTTTCTGAAACTAGAGGCCAGTAAATAGAATGACTGACTAAAAAGGGATTGAGAGAGTCAGATTTTTCCTGCAGTTGCCAGGAAATTCCATTAAAGTCATTGAAAACTGTATACATGTAAATGAGAAGGAAATTTGGTCTGACTTGAGTGTGCACTTCATATCATGGTGTTAAATGTTTATGTGGATGGAGATCCAGTCAGCATTTCAAATTCTTAATGACTCTATGTTGTTAAGGGAAGCACAACATCAAATACTTCAAGGCATCCAGGTGACACTATAGCCATTTATTTGGTAAAGCACTGGAGTAGTTGTGCATTCAGCTGATTACCTCTAATGCTTTTATTTCACAAAAACTCTTACATTTCTTCCACAACACTGTCAATGCAGCATGAAATATTAATAGATATTTAACACTGAGGTAGAGTTTTGGATTTAAGAATTTGCATTAATTTCTTCTATTCATAGTTTTCAACTACTTGTCATCTTACGTTGTCTTGTGAGATTGGTTCTTGAAATGAGATAACTTCAGAGTAAATCAGGATTTTATGTTTGAATTCAGCTTCCTAAACTAAGCTTCTGCTTTTGTCAGTGTATTCAGTAGATGTGACCTGTTGCAGAGAAAAAAAATGCTGAATTTCAGATTTTTGTCTCTTCTTTTTAGTGGCAGATCAGTAGTGGACAAACTTCAACCACCCCTTCAAGTGCAAGCAGCACAACATCGACTCCATCCAGCCCCACAGTCACCAGTGCTGCTGGGTGTGATGGGAAGAATTACGGTCCCCCTGTGATAGATTTGAGTTCCCCAGTGGGTAGCTCCTATAATCTGCCATCTCTCCCTGATGTAAGTGTGACATAGAGGCAATGTTTTATGGATTCTATTTTGAAGTCTCAATGTTTGTGAGAAATAAAAACCTTTTAGACTGAAATTCTGTTTGTCAGAACGAAAACAGTTCTAGGAAATAAACAATTCAGAGTTGCCTGCATGTTGCTGGAAATATTCAGAACCGTTCTGGGAGACAGCTGTTAGAACAACTAAGAAAAATAGGATTACAAGCTGTAATTGTAATTGGACTTGTTGATTTGTGTGCTGCATATTTTTCTGAAGCCCTCATAACGATTCTTACAAAAATGTGTTAGTTTAGCTTTCGTTTACCAGTGTCCATAGATAGCAGTGGCTTACTGATGGCATTTCTGGTAGTTTTTTAACTAGTTTTTTAAAATCTATTTTTACCTTATTGAAAGAGCTATCATGGGTAGGTATTAATGGTCAGCATACTGGCTATATTCCTTACATCTTTTCCTTTTGGTACTTCTTTTCATACAACTTTTTCATATATTTTCTATCATGCCTAGGTGGTGATTGAAATAGCATAGTAAGATCATAATTTCTTAACCTTCTAAGCTTCTCTTTTATAGTTTCTTTTGAATGGTATGTGTTTGCCAGAGGTTCATGTTGGAGTTGCTTTTAGTCAGGTGACTTTATTTTTCCACATAACTGCCTAACCTGATTTTTGTGGTCTAAGATTTGTAGATATCTGAAGTGTCATGGTTTTCTAGTTATAGCTTGCTGTTACTTCCTTTATCTCCCATCTGTGCTTTGTTTTTACCTATTTACTATGTGTTTTCTTTATTAAAATGGAGTACATAGACTGCAGAATTACAGTATCTGTCAGAATTAAAGGGGGAGCTACACAACATGGTTGTAAAACTACTGAGTCTGTGAGACATTTTAGCATATTTATTTCTGTGCACAGTATGAACTCTTCTGTTTGTGTGTGATTGAGTTTATGCTTTTAAGATACATGGCCCAAATCACTATAAATATGCTGACCTTGCCAAAGCTGCTGCACCCACTTTGGGTACATCTTATCAAACATTATTTTACATGTTGAAGGAAACCAAACATTTCAAAAAGTCATTCGTCCTTATCAAGCCAGAACGTGTGGTTTTTATGGAAGTGCTGCATTGGGAGTCCCTAGAATAAAGTTCAGTTATCTGGCCTGAGCCATAGTGGAAAGAACAGGTGTTAATTTGCTATTTCCTTTTTGAGTCAATAATGCATGGCTGTTGTTCAGAGGGTATGTGAGACAGATGGGATTGAGTGTCCTTTGAGTTACTTCCAGTCCTGTTAAACAATGGTGGATTAAGGGGTAGTTTGTGAATAGTGTTATTACCTTTTCAAGAGTATGTAATGTGAGCATGTCCAAAGAAGGTATGGAGATAAACTTACTTCAATGTCTGAAAGCTCCGTGTTTGATTTAAGCTTTCTCTGTGGCCTTTGGAGAAAAATTTGCATTACAGAGTCATCTGCTCTTAAAATGAAGCACTGTCTGGATTTGGCTGTTTCGTTTTCTTTTTAGGGAAAGCAAGATGATATGTTTTAAAGTAACCATTTCACTTTTGGATGGGTAAACTTTGGTGAAATGCATTTTGGTCTTTGCTTTCAAAATAACAGCATGGCAGAGGCTTTTTGGTTTTGTTCGGTTTTTGTTGCTTTGGAGGGTTTTTTTCCCCTTCCCAACACTAACTGCTTCCCTTTGCTTCCCTACCTTTTAGATTGATTGTTCAGGAAACATCACACTGGATAATGCTGTAAGGAAGGATGGCACTGTAGAGCAGAATCAGCCAAAACCCCCTTCAAACAGGACTGTGCAGTCACCAAATTCCTCTGTACCATCCCCTGGCCTCTCAGGTAATTGAATGTGGTGCAATTTTCTCTTTAAGTAGTGCAATTGAAAAATCTAATGTGGCAGTGTTAACACATTAGATTAATCAGAATTAATTCTGTTTTATATTAAAGATGAGAAATTAGAAAATGAAGGCAAAGTTGTAGAAACCCTTGTAGAAGGTAGAGTTGAGATAATATTTTAGCATTGTGATTCAAAGTTAAACATCCAGATCTTAAAAACAGGGAGGGGGGGGGAAAGAAAGGGTAGATTTTAGCAAATTGGATAGAAATCCACAGAAAAGTGACACTCTCGGGTGTACACCAGATTAAGATCTAGCAGCTGTGGTAAGAGATGAGTATTTGAGCAAGTGAGATAGGATGTAACAGCAGACTAGAAATGGGTGGGTAGTGCAGCACTGACACAGGATGACCAGAGAAGTTACTGTGATGGGTGGCTGAATGTGGTTGTCCTGGAGGATCCAGGGGATTCCTGTCACCATGCTGGTGGCCCACAGCAGCTGTTCCTCATTCCCATTTTCTGACCTGAGCTGTGGGAAGGCTGTGTGAGTGGGAATTCCCAGGAAGGAAGCACTCGTGCAAGGCTCATGCGCTCGCGTGGCGGCAGAGACAGTGGGTCTACATTCACAGGCAGCACAGACATCCCACTCAGGCTCCTCAGGGCTGCTGCTCAGCAGTCTGCTTCACAAGGCTTTTGGAGCCCCAGACCTTTGGTCTCCCTCGTATCTGTCTCCCAGACTTCTTCCTGCTCACCAGCTCAAAGTTTCCTGCCAGTTCTCCTGAATAAGACAAAACAGCCTGCAGTGATTAGGTGGAGAGGTCAGCCAGGCAAAGGTACTCGCCTGTCAGCCTGCTGGCATGTAATGGGCCCTTTCTTAGCCCTCTCTTTCCCTCTGCTATCTCATGCCTCTCATCCTTTCATGAAAATATATTAAATGAGATATTTCTCACTGCAGGAGACATTTTCCCCAAAACACATGTACTTCTGAGTTGTATCTCAGATTTGGCACAGACCTGTGTTCTGTTCTAATCTGATCCTTCTGTCCTAGGAGGAATCAGTGTGACAAATGTACACCCTCCAATTCGTTCACCCAGTGCCTCCAGTGTTGGGAGCAGAGAGAGGTAAGGAAAGAGTGTGAGAGAAGAAAATGTAACTTCCTCCTCCACAGAACATGCCTCAGTCTCTTTCTTTCTTTAATGCATAAAGATGTCGATTTGTCTCACTTTCTCTGTTAACAGGTCAGGCCTGATGGTTGTTACAGCACTCTTTGCATTCCAAAAGCAGTAATTTCATTTGTAATGTATTAATAGAACATCTAAAGATGTATTGACTCTGTAAATGATGGCTAGGTTGGCGTTATTAAAAGAATACCATTTATAAATTAGGTTTTAACTTCAGAAAAATCAGCTAAGGGAAAAAGCTGCATATTGAAAGCCCTTATGGAACTATAAATTACTTCAGATTTAAGGAACTGATGTTACAAAGAGGGTTATTAAGAATTTTCTGCTGCAATACAGTTAAGTGAGCACTAGATATCTACTGAGAGTCTACACAAATGTTTTTATCCCTAACTGATGGAATATTAATGAACAAATATATTTACACAGTGTTGTTTGAAGAGTGCAGATCTGTTAATGTGTTGCAATAAATTAGAGCATATATCTGACATGAAATTAATTTTTCATGCAGAGGAAAATCAGATGACATTCATTCTACTTGAGTTGGAAATGCAGGTGCTTTTTAATCTAGAATACCTTTTGCTCTATTCCATTTACATGGTAAATTCTGTGAAGGACTCTTATGAATAGTTTAAATGAACAGTTTAAATGGGTGTTTGAAGAGTCTTTACTTGAATTTAAAAATTTGATTTAATATGCTGCTGCTTGAATTCATTGTGTTAGATTTAAATTCTTTATTTTAAAAGATAAGGTATTTTAAAGTTTAATTGTCCATTCTCATTCTGTTATGACTAAATACATGAAAAAAGACAAATCCAAGTTTTGGTAGAGCTGCAAGGCTCTAAGAAAGTTTTCCAAGATAATGGAAATACATGTTTTATCTGCCTTATGTTGTATGGTTTACAGTGTTCAGTGGATCACTCTTTTGTGTATGATTGAAAGAAACTGAGATTATTTGCAAGTTTTGCACTAATGGGTCAAATTATGAGTAATTCTCTAGTTTTGGGGCTGCACTATCAAAATTTTCCCATTTGGTAGTGCTTTTTCTGTATACATCAAAAGAAATAACCTTGGATGTTCATTCCATAAAGGGAATACTGCTCAGGATTCAAAGAAACAAAGTTGATTAACGTCCTGAGGTCTTAGAAAGCATCAGTGTACAAAACGCGCCCAGTTCTGACACCTAATTTCCCTTTTTTCCTTCCTTTTCCTGTCATTTACAGTTCTGGCTCGTCCAGCAGGCCACCAGGAGCTGATTCTACACACAAAGTCCCTGTTGTTATGTTGGAGCCGATCAGAATTAAACAGGAGTCAAGTGTATCAGACGAGAACTTCGATTTCCCAATCGTTGTAGTGAAGCAAGAGACGGAGGAGGAATCCCAGCCTCGGAATGTAATATTTACAGCTAGAAAGATGGCCTTTCTCTTTGGAGGGTATTTTGTATTTACAGGGAATAAAATAATTTACTCGTATTCTGCTGGGAATTGTTTCAGGGGAAAACTAAAAAGCTAAACAAAAGGAAGAGGTGAAATTCAAAATCAAGCTAGCCCTACTGCCAATTAAATTAACTGGTACGATCAGACTGCTTTTATCCACTGAAAACCTGGGAAATCCAGAAATAACTTGCAGAGATTAAATTTTCAGGTGCTGCTAGGAAGTGTTTCCAGTCATATTGCAGGAATATCCATAAACAAGGCACTAGAGTTTTGGGCCATCAGAGATTAGTTTTTTTATTAGTGGAGCAGTAAATAGCCTTTCATAGTTAATTTCTTGTGTTAATTTGCCTGTGTTACAGCGTGTTAGTAATTTCTGCATGCATGTTTCAAGTTGTATGGCTGCTGGCACGTAGATCTGTTATTCAGGTCAATTTGCACATTGTTAGGGTCATGTAAATTCACATAAATACTCAATCTGACTTCCTTTGTTTCTTCCTGCAGTCCATACTTACTTCCTTGCTGCTGGATACCAATCACAGTTCCACTTCTGACGAAGCTATGCTAAGAACAGCTGCACCAGACAGCACGGATGACCAGCCAGGGGTACTGCAGGAGAGCACATTCCCTGGGAAAATAGGATGGATGGGCTCCTCCCATGCTGGCGAGGGCAGAAAAGAGGATGATCCCAATGAAGACTGGTGTGCTGTATGTCAAAATGGAGGGAAGCTCCTTTGCTGTGAGAAGTGTCCCAAAGTATTCCATCTTTCTTGTCATGTCCCAACACTGATGAGCTTTCCAAGGTAACTATTTCAGTTCCCTCTAAAATTGCACTAAAAGACATTAGACTTGTATTGTGGAATCCAGGATAAGACATTTCAGTCTCAGAGCAGTGTCTTCGTGTCTTGTATCCAGCAGATTTATTAGTTGGAGAAAACCTGAATTTTCATGAAACTTCATCTTAATTGCGTATTTTTCTACAAAATCTAGTAAAACTCTTCACTTATTTGACAATTAGGCAAGATCACATCTAGGGCATCTATTATTAAAACTGGGACACAGAATTACATTACCAATCTGTCATAAAATGTTTTAAGGGTGACTGAAAATAGTTATATTTCTCAATAATAATGATTTAAAAGAAAAATTAAGAAATGTCTACAGGAAAAATCTGGATTAACATAATATGAAATATATTACTGCGGTGCTAAACATGGCTACATTCCCAGCATGGGATGTGTAGTGACTAACATATTTTATAACAGTCAGTGTTGAAACAAGCATTAAGCTTTCTTGAATGGCTGTTACAAAACCATTGCTCAGTTTCTTGACTTTCAAAATAGAGTCTTAAATAGATTATTGTTATAAGCATTACCGGCGTTTGCTTGTGGAATTAGCGTCTTTGATTAAAATAAACGGCATTTTGCAATGCCCCAGCTTGGAAATGTCATGCAATAAGCTTGTTTGTATTGAAGGATAAAAACATTGGTCATAACATGCTCATTGGTTAATGCTTTTATAAATATTAGGTTTTCTGATTAAATATCAGCATAGTTTACTGGTGTAAAACATTTGGATAGCAACTTAGATTAGCATGTTGATCATCTCTGTGCTGCTCTGAACAGGCATACTTCTGGAAGTATATAATTCTTTTAAATTTCACTAGAAATGGCACATGAAAATGTTTCTGTTACTTTTTGAAACTTCAGATTCCAGTGGGTTTTTTTTTAATTAAAACAAAGCTATGTTCCAGCTTTATGCCATAAGGAAAACACAGTAAGTTTACAATAAGCACTTAAATTAATAAATATTCTTTCTGGAAAGAAAACAAAAAGTAATCTTGAAGCAGGTAGATAACGGTGAATTACAAGACTTGGTTTCTATTAAAATTAAATCTTCAATAACAAGTAACAGGTTTATAATTTCATTTTTACTGGATCATTCAGTGGAAACTGAAGTAATGATGTCTGAGGACAAGGGAGCCAAAAGCCACTTTGATGGCAGGTGTTCAGATCTGAAAAGCTGCATATTACTACAGGTGCATTGTGTTCCTGGGCTTCAGAGCACAGTTCGCTGACTTCTGATGTATCAGGTTTTTGTTCTCATATTTTTGGGGTTGCTTGCATTTTTTTTCCCCCAGCTGTAAGTCTGCTAAACAAACTTCAGTCTCTTAGTCTTAGTTCCTTCAAACGCACAAAATAATTTTGTTATTTTTGTGTCAGCGGTGTCGGTCTGCTGCTTTCATGATGCTTTTTGTTCCTGTTTCAGGTGGATAGGGTAATTTTGTAGGTTCAGAGAGTCACAGGGTGTTCTGGGTTGGAAGGGACCTTTAAAGGCCCCTTTAATTTGAATCCCCCTGCAATGCTCAGGGACATCTTCAACTAGATCAGGTTGCTCAGAGCGCAGTCCAACCTGGCCTTGAACATTTCCAGGGACAGGGCATCCACCACCTCTCTGGGCAACCTGTGCCAGTGTTTCACAGTCCTCACTGTAAAAAACTTTTTCCTTGTATCCACTCTGAATCTACCCTCTTTCAGTTTAAAATAATGTTCCCACGTAGATTCGTAAGGCCATGGCATCTTTTTTCCTTCATTCCAACCTACCACATTCTTCCTGCTTGTTGGATATTTTAATACATCATTCCTCCTTAATTTGTTCCTTGTTTTCTTGTGTCACAAGATCTTTAGGTCATGGCCTGTGTCAATTTTTGTGTATCTGTCCCATCATTTCTGTAAGGCTAGTCCAGGCACAGAGGTGACACTGTCATAAATCACTCTGTGAAGTTAAGGTAGCAGAAAGTAAAACTTCTTGAAGCAAAATGTCCATCATTCACCACTGCATGTTAAAACTGGAAGATGGTGAAAATCTTTGGATCACTCTGAATAGAAAACAGTAAGATTTTCTTTTTAAATTTGTGAAGTCTTCTGCCTTACTATAGAAATGAAATGAAGGGTACTGCAGAAACTGTTCTCCATTTATGAAGACACTGTTTATAATAACATACCTCTGGGTAAATACACGCAGTTCAGCTCATGACTGATTATTGCTGAATTCTGTCTATTGTGTGATGATTCAGCCCTCTGGTGGTTATATGCAAGCATGCAGGTTTATTTTCTTTTGTAGAGAGCTATATTAAAAACATAGACTCTTCACAGTTTTTTCAAAACTTTCAGGTTCATAAATTGTGTTCAACAATCAGTGGATGGAGCTTGCAGAACTAATTATTTTATAATCTTATGCTGACCTTTAAATCTCCAGTATTGTCTTATATAAACTGGTAAAATCATGAAAATTTGAAAGTTTTAGGGAGTGAAGTATTCTGAGTTTTACAAAGAATCTGTTCTATGGTAATCTCTGTAGATTAGTAATGTGCTGTAGATCAAGCTTGTAGAGGGTATGTAGTTCTCACCATATAATACTAACACTTTTCCTTCTCTTCAGCCCAGATGACTCCTTCAGTCTCTCAGTAGTCATGGTTGTACAGGGCTCTTCACAGTGCTATCCTTAAATCCTGTGAGCTCAAGTGAAAAAATTCAGTATTGACAAAGGTAGAGACCATCTGTCTATCTTTCTGCTAGGACACCATTAATGACACCAGTGCCACTTAAAGGAAACAAAGTTGTAGTAAAGCATTTTTGCCAGCTGTTGCAGCCTTTTGTACCACCAGGAAGAAAACAACGGAGATGCAGAGAAAACGGATGAGGGATTTACCCAGAAATATGTGGAAAGCCTTCTGGCAAAGGAGAGCTCTCTCACTGAGATCAGTGTGTCTGTTTGTCTTCTTCAGTGGAGAGTGGATTTGTACATTCTGTCGGGATTTGTCCAAGCCAGAAGTTGAATATGACTGTGATAAACCTGCTCACAGCTCTGAAAAACGAAAATTGGAAGACACCATGGGTTTGGCACCCATAGACCGCAGGGTAAGGATAAAATTATTATTTAAAACTTTTAAGCTGAAGCAGTCTTGAACTGTGTTAGAAACTTTTGTCAGTGTTTGCCACCTGTTTTCAGTTAGCAACTTGTGTAAATCTGCTGAAATTAGTATTTTATTTGGGGGTCTTGGTCTACATGTAGAGAACCATGAAGAAGAGTAGTTGAGAAAAGACTCTCAGTCAGGTGCAAGAAGTATGACACTGATTATGTGGGTGATTATGATGAGATTTATTGCTAACACAGTATCTAAATATTGCCAATGCAGTCTATAATAGAAGCAGGTCTGAAGGGCTTTAACACAGACAGGTTCAGCTGGAAAAGTGCAGTTTTGCAGAAAGCACAATTGTAAAGCACTCATAGAACTACTTTAGGATTTTATCTCCACTGTCACTCACCTGTCCAAAAGTGAGTGTTCCCATCCTCAGGCTGGATGTAGAGGTGTGGGATCCACCTGGAAGCTGCCCTGCAGCCCCTGGAGGTCAGTTTGCCCAGGCTCCAGGAGCATTTTGTACCCTTTTGCAGGCCATGTATACCAAGATCAATGAAACCATCACCACTCCCCCATCTCTGGAATGCATTAATTATGCAAGCATCCAGACAGTTCCTCCTGCAATTCCCACCTGGTGTTCTTATCTTTGGACAGATCATATTGCCCATCTAGAGTAGTGTGAGTGTGTGTGTGTGTGTGTGTGTGTGTGTGTGTTTTTAGGAGCTCTATTTGTATTAAATGTAAGTTATAAGCTCTGTAAAGGTTCTGATAAGGGATCAACAAGCATAAAATCACACAGAAGGATTTTTAGAATCTCTTCCAAGGCTCAAGATCCATTTTAACATATTTATATACACAAAGAAAAAGGTGGAATACTGAGTTCTGTATTTCCTGTAGTTTGTGATTTTAGAATAAACTGTACAGGATTTCTGAATTACTTGGTATCTGTTTTTCTTGCCACAGAAGTGTGAAAGACTGCTGCTATACCTCTACTGTCACGAAATGAGTCCTGCCTTTCAAGATCCAGTTCCTCCCACAGTATGTAGCTCACTTGTTTCTATTTTATGTTAGCAGCATATTTGCCATGTTCCTAATGGCATTCTAAAGTCCATTATCATAAGTCAAATTCCACAGACATTCAATGCATTAAACGTGTCATTTTATTCAAACTGGCTGAAGGGGGAAGTTAAAAGTTGAAGCATTGGGTTGGCAGGGGATTTACAAGTAAAATTCCACAATAACTGATTTTACTTCATACTTTAAAAATAGTTACAAAAAGTAAGTTCTAACTTTGCTAACTTCATATCCTGAGTTACATTACTGAGAAGGTAAATTGGGATATATTTGGGGGTTTTGAACATTACCTAATTTTGAGAATTGGGGTACTTTATAGTACTAATATGAAATTGAGTTTTTTATTGACTTGAAATTTGTTACTTTAAAATGATAAACAGTACCTGGGTGCATTAGAAGTCCAAGGATACAAAGAGCTACCACCATGATCAGATGAAAAGATCAGTAGTGAGTCAGTGGAGAAGGACAATGGGGAAGGAGTTCATCAAAAAGTAGTACATTCTTATGCAGCCTTCATTCCATTTGCATAGTAATTCTGAAGAACATTCCAGAGAGTTTAATAATAAGTAGCGCAAGAGATTAACTAATTATTCATATTATGGTCATGTGTTACTAAATTCAGGTATTAAAAATGTGACTCTTGTTAGGAGAAAGTAGGAAAAATATAAATATATTACCACTGGTTTTCATTCTTATTTACTTTTTCTTCCTAAAGAAAAAAAAAAATCTTAATCCTACAGCCACAGTTTGGTTATGAAAACCAAATTGAGGTCTCTGGAATATGCCACCATTTCAAAGGACTTATTTCATATGGTGGTCTTGAGAATGAAATTTAATAGATAGCTTATTTGACTACACCTGAAAATAATGTCCAAACCAACTCATTGGCTCTATTATATGCAGTTAGTGGAAGTTTTATGTGTTTCTCTTTAATTTTAAAATAGGCATTGAAAAGAGTATATTTTAGCCAACAAATTGTCTTATATCACTGTTATTCCAGAAACTGTCTGCATGTATATTAAAACTGCAATTCTTGTATCTTTGAGTTATACTTTGAAGATGAGACTAAATTTTCCCCACTCTCTCAAATCTAAAAGTTTAGAAAACAGTAAATTATGAACACGATTGCATTTTGGACTTCTTTTTTTCTACTTAGGTCCCAGATTATTACAAAATAATCAAAAAGCCTATGGACTTGTCAACCATCAAGAAAAGACTTGAAGTGACCAATTCATTCTACACAAAACCAGAAGATTTTGTGGCTGATTTCAGACTGATTTTCCAAAACTGTGCTGAATTTAATGAGGTTAGAAAAGTAGATACTTTATCAGGTTTTGTTGGCTTCATTGTTTTCAGGAAAATTGTAGTGGGGGTAGAACGTACAACACAAGAACTTATTGTATTAAACTTACTTTGATGATGAGACTGCAGTGAAAGCAGATCAGATTTGACACTGCTGTGGTCTGAGATAACTCTGCAGTGGAGATCTTTTCATGGAAGGGAGGAGGATGGCAGGACAGCAGATAAAGAAAAGGACAGTTTTTTATCATACAGGTTAATAGTGGGCATTATGATCTAAAAATTGCTTTAGTCCTTCTTGCATCAGATCTTAAATTCAGTGGGATTTTCATTCTGAGAGCTCTGTACTCACCCTTATGATTTCAAGTCACATGTTAAGTAATTGTTATTATCCCCTACTGCACATAAGGGAACATGTGGTGAAATAAGGATGCAGGTTCTGAATGGACCACAAAATGAGAGAATTAGTTTGAATAAAGGCTTCTCCAAGTGGCCTCTGTGTTCTCATTCAGTCACCCTAGATAGGAATTATCCCTAAACTGGTGGTCTCTGCCTCGGGAAACCGATAGCTGTGGTGGCTGTGGTGACTTCAGGAATGCTCAGTGCTCCACATTACAGTCATTGTCTACCAAGTAATATTTTCACTGTTACTAAAAAGATCTGTAAGCTAGAGAAGTTTCTGACACCCTGAGGGCGTATCTATGTGTTTCACAGCACAACACAACTCTGCCCCTCTGCTCACACCCCAGTCAGGATTTAAGAGTTCTTAGAATTTTTGTATGGCTTTCAGAACCTGGGTGGTGTGGTTTTTGTGAGTGGCTTCTTGTGGTCACCTGCCCTCACTCTGAGTTTTTGTGCTCTTTGGGGCCCTGTGCTCCATAGTCATTCTTGCTGCTGAGTGATGTTTTTTGTAGTTTGTACCTAATAGACCTAATGTGATCTAAGTACAAAGCTATTTCATGATGCACTGATGTTGTTAATTCACCCAACAGCCTGATTCAGAAGTGGCTGATGCTGGCATGAAACTCGAAGCCTACTTTGAAGATCTTCTAAGGAATCTTTATCCTGAGAGGAAGTTCCCTGTACAGCCAAACAGCCAGAGTGAAAAAGATAATCCAGAACTTAATGATGACTCAGATGATGACTTTGTACAGCCCCGGAAAAAACGCCTCAAAGGAGAAGACCGTCAGTTTCTTAAATGAGCCACATGTGTTACGACAGAAAGTTTTTTAAAAACTGAGAATATTTATCACTGGTATCACTGTTTTGACTTGTAGGGTTGTGAATATTTACTAGACTTTCTGCCCCCAACTGAAACACAAATCTAATGGAGATCAAGGCACGTGAAGAGCTTCTCTGAAGTTCAAACCTTTCATCTCTTTTCTGGAGCAGCTCAAAAATTGCCATTTGCGTGGGGTGACAGCTGTTTAACTTTGCTTTGAAGAAGTTTGTATAGAATTGAACTTCAAAACATGACATGGGTTCAACATGTGGCTTTCCGAGTTTGAAGAAAATGTGATCTCACCAGATTTTAATTTTACCAAAGGCATGTGGCTGGCCATAATTTGGTCTCTCTGTACTGTATTTAACACAAGCCATGAACAAAGATGGTGTAATGTTATTGTCCTGAAATACTGATTGGTATAATGAAAGTGTAGTTGCCCCAAAATAAGTTATTGGAAATTTTAAAATGTAAGGGAAAGGGTATTAAAAATAACTTGGAAAAAAAAAAAAAAAAAAAAAAAGATTAGTTTGTGTAAGAGTTTCTAATGGAGGAAGTAAAGGACAGAATATTTTGGTTTGCACCATTTTTCTCACCACCAGCAGGAAACAGTTGTATTTATGTACTATTTTGTTTAACAGGTGTCTAATTGTGATGTACCTCTGTTTAATGAAGTTGGTGGGAAAGTCTTGAGTGGAGAAATATTTGTTTGCAAAACCAGTCATTTTTGTGAATTTTTAAAGAGGGGAGAAAAAGCATCATTTCTGTCCACAATCTCTTGGTTTTTTCCAATATTTCTAAATATGTCAGAATGCAACCAGTATTCACTTGGGAGTACACAAGTTTGAAGAGAAAAAGATATTGCTCTTCAGCCCTCCATCTGTCTTTGATCAGCAGAAAATGAGGATGAATTACTTTATTTTGCTCCGTCTACTTTCCCGGAGCTCTGACAACATTGAGATTGCTTCTGCCCTTGGAGCACACCTCCAGTGGTACCCTCCTGTGAAAGCTCTCCATCAGTTCTGTAGTTCCAGCTGGCTCCCTCAAAAACTCCAACTTTCATCCAAACAAAAGTTCATCCCACTGTAACCTTTTATTTTAAGGCATCTCTCAGGGTTATTGCTCAGAGTTTAATTTCTGCATGAGGGAAGGTTCCCTTGGCTTTAATGCTGCTGATGGATGGTGTCCCTGGGCTGGAAGGGAAGGGATGTGGGGTGGGTGGGGCATACCTGGGGGTGTGTGGGAGCTCCAGGAGGTCGGCACTGGGAATTGCTGTCTGAGCCTCTCCACAAATGCACCGTGCCGACATTCCCAGGTAATGCCAGCTTGGGGTATTTTTGGGGTGTGGGTGGGGTCTGTCCGGGCTGAAGCATCTCCAGGTGCCCGTTTGGAGCAGCCCCTGGCTGAGGAGCCACTGGCAGCCCTTTATCCATGTCCATCCGAGCACTGCCCAGGAATCCCAGTGCCCATCCCCGGGATGTGCGCTTGGCACGCTGTGTGCCGCGGGTGGGACACTGCAGGCACAGCTCCTGCCCTGCAAACACCGAGGACAAGAGGTGCTGGTTCCCTTTCTGGGGCTGCCAGCCCCCTCCCAGGCAGGTGGGACACACGGAGAAACACCACGGAACTTTCCTGGCAGTGAGTGGGTGTCACCGAGTTTCACCAGCTTTTTAAACCCACAGGTTTTTCCGTGGGAGAGTGCGAGGCACAGAGAAAGTGGAGGAGAGCAGGGATAGCGTGCTGTCTCACCCAACAGGTGTCGGATGAGCGGCTGGAGCAGGACCGAGCCCCGGCGGGCTCTGGTGTCACAGCGGGCGCGGCCGGAGCAGGAGCGGCAGCGCCGGACTCAGCCCCAGGCCCGGAGCGGCTCCTGCCGCCCGCAGTGATCCAGCCTCGCTCGTTCGGACCGGGGGTGCGGGTACCGGGGAGGGGGAGGCGGGCGCTGCCCGGTCCGGAGGGCGCGGTGGCCTCTGGGGTGCCGGGGCGGGGGCAGCTCCGGGCGGAGCTGGGCCCGGAGCGCTCCGGGGCTGCGGG